AGGGAAGGGCCACGTAGCGCGATGACAAGTGCCGCTGCTTTCTCCTGGTCAGTCCATCCGTTGGCAGTGGCCGCTGCTTCAAACTGGCGGTGGTTTGTCCATCGTAAGTCGATGCCTTAAAATTCGCAGTTCCAGGAACGCCAGGTGTCCTTACTTGTACCTTGGTCTTTGTAGGTCCATCTCTAATTTTTCCATTTTCTGCTGAAGTCGTTTCTCCAGTTCTTCTAAGTTCTTCTTAAGACGGTTTTGATCTTGTTGTCTTTCTTTCTGGCGGTGCGTCTCTATATCTTCTAAAATTTCCCTCCATTCATTCTTCTGACGGATTTCTAAATTGCCTAAAATTTTCTCAAGCCGGTCCTGTTCTTCTTCTTTGTCTTGGTGTCGTTGAATTTTCATATCTTGGAAAATTTTGTCTTAATTTTCTAGAATTTTCAGTAAGCGGTCTTGTTCTTCTGCTTTCTCTTTTCGCAGTTTCTCTTGTTCTTCTGCCTTTTCTCTTCTCATATTCTCCATAAAATCGCCCAATAGTTTACTTACTTCCTCCATTTTGTTCGCTTGTTCCTTTGTACCAACCATAAAAATACTCTAATTCGGTCTAAAAATCTTCCAATCCACTTAATTTCTTCTTAAAAATCCTCTTGAATCGCACTTCCGACACCAATTGTTACGGATTCCGTGGGTCCACTAATTTAAACTCACGATAAAATACTTAACAATTTTATTTGTCTCACTCTGTACACACAACTTATACTATTTATAATACAACTTATGCAACTACTATTACTCTAACGGTATTTCACATTTTAAAGCGCGGTATTATCAAACTTCAGACTTCAGACTATCTTCAGACTGGTCCAACTGTCAAAGCGCGGGCCTTATATACTCCCTGGCGATGGTTTCTGGAATTTTCTAAAGAATTCTGTAATTTTCTTTTACTTTCTGGCTTCGCCAGGTTCCTCAATGCACGTTGCGGTTATGTAGCAGTAATATAGTTATGCAACCAGTAATACACCTTGATCTTGACAATATATATTATAATGTACAGGGTGTCCCATTTTGGTTGAAATCATACGGTATCTCCGTTATTCGTCAGGATAGAAGGGTACGGTTTGCATAAACCTGTGCCACTTTTTTTGAAATGAAAGCTGCTGTCAACAAAATTTTCCTAGCCCTCTTCGTTTCTGAGCTACAGGGTCTTTTCGAAAATTTTGCAATTTTGTTTGTTATTATGGATGATATGGAAAAGGTAAAAACTGATTCTTATAGAACTTTTTACGTAGGATACAGTGGCGTAGTCTGTTATTCTACGAAAAGAATATTTTTAAAGATATGAACTAAAGTTATGTTTTCTTAAATGGAACACCCTGTATATTTATAAATTATATGATCTGGTTTGTCATAAGCTTCTCAAAAATATATATCATTCTATATTTATTTTCACTATTTAGTACAATATTTAAAAAAATATATTAAAAGATCAAATATATTAGTAGGCCATGATTAATAATAAAAGAAACTAAAGAATTGTTAAAAATATACTGCTCCCTGTCTCTTGTTTTATTTTGAGAGCCACTAATAAATTCTTTATATATTAGGGAAACTTAACTCTCTACCGCTGTTCGTAAATCTTGGAAGTTATCGTATCGGGATTTTTAAATATTCCTTTAGCTAATTTACGTGAAATAAACTTTCAGCAAGATGGAGCTCCCCCTCACAACTTAACTTACAGCGAAAATATTTGTCATAGAATTTTGTTAAATTATTATTTCTCAAATCAATGGACCCATATGATGGTTTCTTTTATTCCTGGATTTGTTTGTTCTCGATTTCTGATTTTGGGGATTTTTGAAATATGAAATATATCCTTGCAACTAACACAATGTCGAACACCTGCAAAATGCTTTAATATAATGCAAGCTTTTATAGTAAAGGATCCGAGTACTAAACGACTTTCACCGAACTGGTTAGTGGATGAAAAATATTTTATATCAAATGAAATATCTTAATGAATATATTTTAAATGGGTTGTCTAAAAAATTTCAGTCCAGAATATGATTAATTAAAAATTAAAAAATCCATTTTTTTTAAACATTTTACCGTAAATACCATTTTGATTTTTTGTTATTTATCATGGCCTACTAATAAGAAAATGATATATTTTAAATATTGCAGTAAATAGTGAAAATAAATATAAAGTGATATAAAACAATAAAATTTTGTAATTTGGGACACCGCCCGTATCTCTGTTATTGTGGATGATATCGAGAAGGTGAAAACTGATTCTTGTAGAACTTTTTACGTAGAATACAGTGGCGTAGTCTGTTTTTCTACGGAAAAAAAAATTTGAAAATATTGTTACGTTTTTCGTCGGTTCCGTGTGGATAGAAAGTCACAATTTATTTAAACACTATTTATTTAACACTAATTAACAAAAACAATAACAATTAAAAAACTTATAGAACTATTTACAAACGATTTATAACTAAGAATTTATTTTGAATTTTAGCGCGTCAACTGCACTGGTATATTTATAACTGCCCTCTCTAGGCCACTGCCGCCGGCTTTTATACCGACAGGTAAAAGAAATCTAGAATAGTCCAAAGATCGTTAGGCGCATAGAGAAGGTTTTCGAATGTTCTCGTATGTACTAGTCCATTCTAGTGGGTCTCGATTCTTCTCGAACGAATGAATCATTGCAGTATCTATGCGATGTTAAGGTCATCCGAGGGCGGGCCATATTGTGAGGTTAGGTCGAGTCCACACCGGCTCGCAACAATATGAACGAAAGTTATGTTTTTTTCAAACGGAATACTCTGTATATTTATAAATCATATGATCCGTCTTGCTATGAGCTTTTCAAAAATATATATCACTCTATATTTATTTTCTCTATTTACTGCAATATTTAAAATATATATAATTTTCTTATTAGTAGGCAGTGATAAATAAAAAAATCAAAATGGTATTACTAAAATAATCATACACATATTAAAATTTTATTTGGGAATGACATATATTATACTTTTGAACTGTTACCACTGAATCTGTGAATATGTTTTTCTCTTTTTTATAACGGAATTTACTGTAACGGGATGGGTTTGCAAATATCTAAAAGCTTGCATTATTAAAGCGTCATTTTCAGGTGTTCGACACTGTTGTAGTTGCCGATATATTTCATATTTAAAAAATCCACAAAATCAGAAATCGAGAACGAATAAATGCGGGAATCGGGAATCGGGGAGGCCGTCATATTGGTTCATTGGTTCCAATTGATTGATTTGAGAAATAATAATTTAACAAAATTCTAATATTTTTGAAGTTGTGAGGGGGAGCCCCATCTTGCTGACAGCATATTTCACGGAAATTAGCTAAAGGAATATCTAAAATTTCCGGTACGATAGCTTCCGAGATTTATAAATAGCGGTAGAGAGTTAAGTTTTTTAAATATAAAAAAAATTATTAGTGGCTTCCAAAATAAAACAAGAGACAGATAGCAGTATATACTTTTAATAATTCTTTAGTTTCTTAGAAAATGATATCTTTTAAATCGTTATGCCCTTCCATTCTGGGGTACTTGCTGCGCAACAAAATTTGATCGTATTTTCAGACTTCAAAAGAGAGCAGTTCGATATTTATTGGGACTGAACAGTTGGACTCACTGCCAGGATTTCTTTAAAAATTTCAAAATACTGACTCTTCCTTCTTTGGCCATCTGAAAGGCCATCTCATAACTATCCACTCAGGAATGCGGAGCACGATCTTTAACTGCCAACCTCGAGCTCAGAACTGGTTAAAAGTTCAATACTGTACAATGCCAAAAAAATGTACTATCATGTGCCTTTGAATATCAATCGCTTTCATTCTTTCCCGCATTTCGCAAAGCTCTGAAATCATACTTACTGGAGAGAGTCCTATATGCGGTGAACGACTTTTTTGTTGATGTTTAATCATGAACAATTTTGAATTTTAAAATTCTGATCATCTCAGACACTGGTCAAGGGTCAAGTATTTAATATTTTATAATTCTTAAGATTGTATCTATTTACAATCTTCTTATTGTAAAATTTTATTGATTTTTTTTGTGTTCTGAAATAATTGTCTATGTATGTTCTATTTGTAATTTTGATGACTTAAATCTTTTTTGAATTGTATGATTTGTATTGATTTTTTATTATTTGTATGTTTTTATGCTTTTGTTTGTTGTGTAAATGCTTTGTCGATGAAGCTATTTTGGCTTTTTGCACAACAAAGCGTTATTTATTATTATTATTATTTAAATATTGCACTAAATAGTAAAAATAAATATAGAGTGATATATATTTTTGAGAAGCTTATGGCAAGCGAGATCATATAATTTATAAATATACAGGGTGTTCCATTTAAGAAAACATACCTTTAGTTCATCTTTAAAAATATTCTTTTCGTAGAATAACAGACTACGCCACTGTATTCTACCGTAAAAGGTTCTACAATCAACAGTTTTCACCTTCTCGATAGCTTTAACAATAACAGAGATGCAGAGGGTGTAATAAATTGCAAAATTTTCAAAAAGACCCTGTAGCTCAGAAACGAAGAGGGCTATAAAAATTTTGTTTACGGCATCTTCTGTTTGACAAAAAAATGGCACAGGTTTGTGCAAACTGCACCCTTCTATCTTCACTAATAACAGAGATACCGTATGATTTCAACCAAAATGGGACACTCTGTATATTGCAACGGTGACCGCGAAGACTCGGCAGAAGATCGGTTTTATACTAGGTAATGCTATACGCTATTGAAATTCCAGCATCAAACCTCTGGTAACTTATCAGGCAGTTTATTTTACTCCCGCTCTTGGACTACTAGTTTAACCATCGTCGTATTTCCTATAGATAGTATTCGATATCCCAATGGTGGGGCTCGAATTTGAATAACCCTGTATTGATAGTATTTATTTACGTATTTGGTTTGTAGAAATTATAATTAACGAAATTGATTATATGTAATTTTTTTATATCCAGTTAAACCAGTGGCAGGTTCAGCAAAATCTCTACGTCTGACGCGAGAAGACTTCGATGTAGTGAAAGTTATCGGTAGAGGCGCTTTTGGAGAAGTATGTGTTGTGAAACTTCGTGGTTCTGAAAAAGTATTTGCCATGAAAATTTTAAATAAATGGGAAATGTTGAAACGAGCGGAAACAGCGTGCTTTAAAGAGGAAAGAGATGTATTGGTATATGGAGATCGCCGATGGATAACACATCTACATTATGCGTTTCAGGTTAGTATTTTAATTTCTTTATTATATGATATTAAAAATTATATGATATTATATTTTAATATCATATAATTGTTAGCAAAATAAAATTACACTAAATCACCACAATACACCAAAACACTTTTACTTTTACACTGGACGCGCGTTTCGCTAACCATGTTAGCATCATTAGCAGATGATTATAAACTGATTTATTTTTTTTTATAATCATCTGCTGATGATGCTAACATGGTTAGCGAAACGCGCGTCCAGTATAAAAGTAAAAGTGTTTTGGTGTATTGTGGTGATTTAGTGTAATTTTATTTTGCTGTGTAACACCAAAGGTTCCAACCCTCAACTGTAATATAATTGTTAATTTACCTTTTCAAAAGTCTTTAATTAAACACACCAGAAAAATCTGTAGATATAATTTTATTAAAATTAAAAAGGAATGTTTTGAATAAACAACCACATATTTCTAGGCCGATTCTTTCTACTTCGATTGAAACGAAGTAGTCACACTAGTTATTTCTAAATTTCGCATATTTGCAAAAGTTTTTGTGCATTTTTTGTTAAATGTATAAAAAGCACCTAAGATCAATTGTTCGAATTTAACCTGTACTGGCTATGTTTTTATGATAACTGGCTAGAATTCATTCAAATAAGTTTGTTTAGTATTAAACAACGTTATGGAGCGTAGACATCTTAACAGAGACGAAATAGCTAAGAGCCGTGGGTATGCTCGAAGCTGGAATGCGCCAAATCTACGTAGCTAGAACATACCAATAAGTAATACAACCAAAGTGCGATTAATAATATCGCGATTAAGTGCACGCTACCGTAAAAGTGGTGATGTCGCTGAAAGGCACACAAGGCGACATCGCATTACTACCTCAGCAAGATCATTTTTTACAATTAAATGCTCGACACCGACCGACTCTTACAGCACCAGAGTTTAGTTTAATTCTCCAGGAAACACATAATGTAACCGTTAGTCCTGACACTGTTACTGGCACTAGATTAAGAGAGGTCAACTTAAGAAGCAGACGCCCCTGGACAGCTCAACCCTTAACGAGGGAAAATGGAGTACGATAGTTGTGGGCTCAAGATCATGTTCAAAAAAGAAGAATTTTGAGAATGGGTATGCCTCGTGAAATTCGTAGGGATTCGGGCCGTGAATGCAGAGTGGCCGGCTCTACCTCAAGAAGAGATCGACAACCCGATCAGGAGCATGGAGAGACGATGTAGGGCTGTAATGAACAGTAGACGAGGCGATACCCGTTATTAAGTAAAAATGGTTTTATCTTTTTTTTTAATTCACAGTTTAGAATAAAAAAAATTGTGTATTTTTTGAGTTTTGAGTTCAATAAAAATCAAGGTAAATTTCAAAATTTAGGTAAATTTCTCATTTTTATTTCCAAAACGTCCTCCAAACCATTTGTTTATTTTAATTTTATTATATCAGAAATGCTGTACGTTGAATAAAATTACTAACGATGGCTGGATAAAATTGTAATATCCCTAGACTTTTCCAGTGTGTTTATGCAGATAAATAATAATATAGAATATTTAATTGTGATAAAAAATAATTAGGCAAATAGGTCAACACAAAATCAAGGCCCGCTTCGATATAATATATTAGATAAAACACCTAATATTTCTGTCATTCTTAGAAATAGATACCCATAATTTTATATCGTTGGAAAGGGTTAAACGCCAGCATTTTTAGCCAGCAAGTAAAAATTATATTTTTTTATTATTTTATACTGACTACGCTACTGGATTGAGCTTAAAAAAGTGCCTTAAGAACGTTTTTACAGAATTGTATTATTCAATTTTCCATTTTATTAGGCAATTTTCCAAATTGAAAAAAATTCAAAAGGACCCCGTATCTCAGTTGGCAGTGAAAATATCAACAGGCGGTTTACGCCATTAAACGTGTCTCAGAAATCGACCCCATGATATCTATGTCGGTTTTGTTTCCTCCATCTAGTCAGGAAATAGGGGTTCTCTGTTAAAACAGACCAATTTCGACCACCCTGTACAGGGTGGGTCAAATTGGACGCTTTTAAAGGGAAGCACCCTTTTCTATAGGAGATAGACGAAAACTTAGGTCGGTGTCTGGAGCTCAATTTTTATCAAAAACATGATGGTGAAAACCGCACGTCGATATCTGTTACCGTTTATGAGTTACGGGGTGTTTTTAAAAAATGTGCATTTTTAACAAACCGCTGTAACTTTTTTGCTATGGAAATGTATTTTTATGAAAACATTTCCAAAGTACCTTCTTACGTAGAATACTTGATATTTTGCTCGATTCCTCTTCGAGATATAGAGTTTTTAAAAATTCGCCCACTTTGAATAGGTAGGCTTTGAACCGCGCTGGCTATATTGCAAAAAAATTGTAGCTGTGAGCAGCAATTAAAACGAATATAATGTTTTCAATGATAAATTTAGAATTTTATAACAATTTAAACTATATTTAACAGCATCAACACATTTAAACTATATCTAATAACAATAAAAATTAATAGCAAACCAAGACATGAGATTTTGCTACAGGTGTTGTCGACCGTCTTCTGTTATGGACAGACGAGACCGTTTTTGAACATGTCTCGCGGAATTCATTAACTCAATTGGGGTGAAAGATACCCTCGCATAACCGCTAAATACTTCTAATTCTTGTCTAGATTATACAGGCAATTTAAAAATAAGAACCTTTATTCTTTCGCAAAGATAAAAACATAGGCACTAAGTCCGGCGGCCTCGACCTCCAACGGCTGGGATCTTGGTTAGCTAATCAATTATTCCCGAAATTGGCTGCAAAAGTTCGCTGATAACTTCAGCGTTCTGAGGCGGTGCCTCGTCTTGCTGGAAAAATATGTTTTCGAGTTCCGTTAGGGGCAGATCATCAATAAGGCGTCCAAAGCCTACTAGTTAAAAGGGGCGAATTTTTAAAAATTCTGTATTTTGAAGGGGATTCTGTATTTCGAAGCAAATTATCAAGTATGCTATATTTTTGGAAACGTAATTTTTATTTCTTTTCATTTAATTAAAAGTATATAGGGCGTCCCAAATAAAAAATAATTTTTTCTGTTGATAACTCTTAAATTATTAATTTTAAGAAAATTATGCTTAAACCATTAAATTCTACGTAAAAACGTGCTTTGGAAATGTTTCCATAAAAATAGAAAATTTTCCATAGCAAAAAAGTTACAGCAGTTTGTTAAAAATGTACATTTTGAAAAACACCCCGTAACTCCGAAACGGTAACAGATATCGATGTGCGGTTTTCACCATCATATTTTTGATAAAATTTGAGCTCCAGCTCCTCTTGCGTTTCCCTTTAAAAGCGTCGAATTTGACCCACCCTGTACAACCGGGCCTAAGTATTTAATTTAGGGTTTGTTTAGACGCTAGGGATAACAGCCGATAAATATTCGAATTACTAAAATTTATTGCCAACCAACTATTTGATTGTTGATTGTTCCCTAGTTTTAATCTCTATCTAAATATAATCTAATAATATTCACAGGATGTTTATGTTTACTTCCCGGTTAAACTGAGAGTGGTATTCTATTGTTTTTTTGATCGAAAGTACTTGAATAGCAATTTGCGTCATTGATGTTGAGGAAATCATGTTATAGCTTCGAGAAAGGATTGTAATAATTATAATAAATTGATCAATAAACAGATTATACAAAAATCTTAAAGCCACAATAAAACACCCCAACTAGTAGAGTACAAGTAGAAATATATTTTATATTTAGTAAACTTACAATAGAAAATTTTTTAGGATGATTCAAATCTGTATTTAGTAATGGATTACTACTGTGGTGGGGATTTGTTAACTTTATTAAGTAAATTTGAAGATCGTCTTCCAGAAGATATGGCTAGGTTTTATATTGCCGAAATGGTTCTGGCCATTGATTCAATACATAGGCTTGGATATGTTCATAGGTTTGTATATTAAAACATTTCTAGTTTATTTAATTTAGTGATGTAATAGATTTAGTAGTAGTCTTCACTACATAAGTTTAGTCTATCCAGCTAAATCACATTAAAGGGATGGCCGTTGTCTTTTATTTTGATTTAAGACTTAACAAGTTACAAACAATTTATCCATTACATTTGAGGTAAGTAAAGAAAAAAGATAAAATGACAAAACATGAAAAATAATGTCACTTAAATATTGCCTCGTTTCGCGTGAAAACCTTGTGACAACCATAAAATTTTTCCGAAATTTTTCTACTTGCAATCGTTACAAGTCCAAATACAGATATTATTTAAGAATGCCATGATATTCTGAATATTTGATTAGGAATGAAAATAATAAATCTAAAATGAATATAAAAAAATTAGAATTTCTAAAAGTAAGCGTATTTTTAACACATTTACTTGTATCTTATATTTAACTGAAAATATTTATTTTACAGGGATATAAAACCAGATAATGTTTTATTAGATGCAAATGGTCATATTAGATTGGCTGATTTCGGTAGTTGTTTGAAATTAAACGATGACGGTATGGTGCAATCAAATGTAGCTGTAGGAACACCTGATTATATATCTCCAGAAATATTACGAGTGAGCCCCAAATATATTTTAGTATTATTCGACAGATCTAATTTTTTTTAATTAAAGGCAATGGAAGATGGTCAAGGTCGTTATGGTCCAGAATGCGATTGGTGGTCTTTAGGTAGGTAACTTTTATTAGCTTTCCAGGTTTTATTTATCCCTTTATACTATTAATTCAGGTGTATGTATGTATGAAATGTTGTTTGGTGAAACTCCGTTTTATGCAGAAAGTCTAGTCGAAACTTATGGTAAAATTATGAATCATAAAAATTGCTTTGATTTTGCTATGGACGTAGATGTATCAGATCATGCAAAAGATCTTATTAAACGATTAATATGTAGTCAGGAGTTTAGGTTAGGACAAAATGGTATTGAAGATTTTAAGGTAACTTATATTATTTGAATTTTATGCGCTACAGTCGTTTTAATGCATTAAGGTATATACCGGGTGGTGCATCGTCGTTGGAAACAGGAAATCTCATGCAAATTTTGAAATTTCCAAATATTGACTTCCATAGTGATTTTACAGCTCGCCGTACAAGTCGTAAATAGGTTTTTAAAGGTCTGCGTATGCTGAACACACATGCCAATTTTAGACCATTTTAGACAAACCGATTTTAAATATAAATTAAGAAAAACTGCATCTATCCTTAAATTAAAACTGAGCGGGTAACAATGCAAAACCAGGAAAATGTCAAGGTACTTTAAGTTGCCATCCTTTAATTTTGTTAATCTCAAATTGTATTTTCTAAACGTTCGAACAAGCTTAAAATTAAAAAAAAATGCATTTCGGGGACACTACCTGCAGATATTATAACATAGTAGTGTAGACAGCACAACAAATTCCATTTAACAAAGATAAAATCATACGTTGACTTAGGTATTTTGAAATTTGACTGGTTTTGCATTGTTGCCTGTTGAGTTTTAATTTAAAAATAGATGCAGTTTTTCTTAAATGACTGAAAATGGGCTTGTCCAAAATTGTTTAAATTTGGCATGTGTATTCAGCATAGACAGACCTGTAAAAAAACTATTTACGACTTAGGTGTAAATTTAATAGGGGAGCCAATATTTGGACAATTCAAAATTTGTATGGGATTTCCTGTTTCCATCGACTATGCACCACCCGGTGGTAAGAGATTAGGGTATTTTGGAAATTTTATTTTAGAAACATCCGTGGTTTGAAGGCTTAGATTGGGATGGAATAAGAGACAGTAACGCGCCTTATATTCCGGAAGTATCGAGCCCCACCGATACGTCAAATTTTGATGTTGACGATGCAGATATAAGACTTTCCGATGCTCTTCCTCCTACAGCAAACAATGCTTTTACAGGGTTGCATTTGCCATTTATTGGGTTTACGTTTACTCAAGGGAGGTGAGTTAAAAAGAACTTAATATCTGTTTTTATTAAATAACATGTTAAAAATATATTTTACTGTATTAAATTGTGTTTATAAAAATGTCCGATAATCAAAAAGACAAACCAGACTTATACCAATTTTTAAGTTATCAAATAAATACAGTATAATGCAAGTTTAGTTTGTACCTTTTGTGTCTTATGAATAATAAGTACTAACTATTATAAGAAAATATGTTCCTTTTATCTTAATATTGTATATACTTATTACTTATTAATAACCTATTAATAGTGTCTCTTTATTTAATTATTAATTAAGTATAATATATCTTTTAGCTACATCTGCGACTTGAGTAATTTATATTCATTTATTTCTTCAACTGCAAATTATATAATGGAGAAACAGAATCAGAAAAACGATTTAATATCTTTAGGGATGGTTTCAAATCAGCAGGTAGGTATATGGTTTGTTTTGGAATTTATAGTGATATATTGTGTAATATTTTTAATAAGGTCTATAATCGATTTTTAAAAACCAAAGAAGATACATGGAAACAAATTAGATTATACATAATCGCAGGTAATCCCTTAAATTTATGCTAAAATTATAGTGTTCAAACCGATGACTCTTTTCCTTGATACTCAATCCAGCCGTTTATGCTAAAATTGTAGTTTTATTATAAATTAGGTGATTATCTACTATTATGTCTATTCTAGTTTTGTATCTTCTTTGGTTTTATAAAGGGCAAAACGGTATGTCCCCGGATTGCCTTTACAAGAGGAAAAACTTTTTATTATTAACATTTTGAGAAAAATGCATTCTTCATAAAAATTTTCGCTTGTTGTAAAATTATTAATCCCGTTTATACTTTTCCAAATTTCCATACCGTTTTAGAGAAAATTGCAAAAAAACATGAAAATGTGCTTGAATTTTCTTAAAGTCCTAAAAATCAAAAGGCGTTTCTATGGTAATACAATTTCGATTTCATTCATTGATAGATGGCATAGATAAAGGAAATAAATTTAGACTGGGAAACCCATCAAAATATATAATTGTTTTGGGTCGCGACCGTTGTACGCGATCTAGCGCTGCTATAGCGGTTGCTAAGAACAACCGCAAAGAATAACAAATAATTTTCTCATGTCAAAGACAGAATCTTCAAAAATTATAAAATTTTTCAAAATTTAAACCGCTCTCATTGAAAAAATACCGAAAAGTGTTTAAATCGTCCATTCTCAAAGTAATTATTGCTATCTTGTGAGTTTAATTTAAATTTTACTTACTCAAACCCGTGATAATTGTGTTGTGAACTGTGAACTGCAAAAACCATCGTGGGTCGTGGCATAACGTCGGTTTCTAATGTTTCATAGGTATTTCGCATACATGTCCTTATATAAAATAAAGTTTCTTGTATGCGAAACACTGTATTTTATTTATAAAATTAAAAGAAATTAATAATACATTTGAATAAATAATATTTGGCGACATAATTCCGGAAAAGCCGAACCAATCCGAAATTATCAAAAGCTTTGGGTCGCAACCGTTGCAAAAATAGCGCCAAATAGTGTTTTTTTTTTCATCCAATATAAACTTGTTTCTTTTATCTATGATAGATGGTTATTATTTATTTTGATTGACATCATATTTTTTTAAAATTTTGTTATTACAAATGTTTAGATATTTCAGTATTAGTATTTAAGATTTTTAGTTTAAATAATTTTCAAGTTTAATAATTTTCTTCAACATGGCTAATGTTTATAGCGACCAGAAAAAGAAGTGGAAAAACAGAGAAGTTCGCCGGACGGAACTAGAAAACTGCAGGATGAAATTAATATGCTGACGAAAAAGAACTGTGAATTGGAATCTCAATTAAGAAGTTTGGAAGCATCAGGTCAATCGCGGGATATGCACATAGATTATTTAGATGGAACAGAAAACGGTGAGAAAGTATGCTTTTGGTCATTTACGTTTATATTAAAAATGTAATAAAACAGCCTTTTTTTTTTAAAAATGTAAATGTTCTGACCTTTTATTTTTACATATACGAGCCCTAACAACTAAATGTTCGGACAAACAAAAATTTATTAAAAACTTTTCTTTTAATTAACTGAATTATTTACATTTAATAAATAGATTAAAAATATATTAAAATCTAACAATTCTAATGAGTATTTAAATAGTTTAGTTTCTATAAACATTAAAATAATCTGTAGGACAATAAATAAACAAAAATATTGCACAATATCGTGACAACTAAATGTTCGGACACTTTAAAAAATAACTGTTCTAATATGGCGTTACATCGGCATGAACTTTTGCAACAACTGCAAGTCTGTTTGGCATTGTTTTTATTAATGATTGGCATATGCCAGAGTAAAATTTTGCCATAATTCACTTAATATCATCGTCAAATGGGCAACAGTTTCGTGGGGATCGTGGCACAATTTTTGTTTTGTTTTACGCCATGTACCTATGTTTATGTCTCGATAACATTAAGGTCCGGACTGTGCGAAGGCCATCAGGGGACCTTGATGTTCATGTCCCTAAACCATTTTTTAGTAGTTTTAGCCGTATGGCATGTCTCGCCATCCTGTTGAAATATAAAATTATTGTCCTGGTCTTTACCAGAACAATTGGTTACAAGGAGCTTCCCACTTGATACAAGAATATTTTTCAAAATTTTTTGATTTTTTGACGCATCAATTATGCCTTCTACCACCTCATACTTTTCTGGGCCTATTTTGGACATACACCTTCAAATCATAATGCCTTTAGAAAATTTCACTGTCCTTTTGAGGCAATCTTTATCAAATAGACACTCTAGCGGTGTTCGATTATATTTATTATATCAGTATTAAGTTGGCTCATGTGCACATGTAATGCGTGCATTTGCGATTGGAATAATTAGCGTCGGATTGGGAAATAATTAAATATTTTACCTTAATGTCATTTTTGTAGTTTGTGGCATCAGAAGTTCCAATCCGACGCTGATAATTCTAATCGCAATCTGCAAGTTCAAGGATTACATCTGCACGCATGCATGATCTTTATGAAAGATGGACAGTGGAATTTCCTAAAGACATTATGCTTTTAGAGTTTATGTTCGCAATGAGTCTAGGAAGGTATGAGGTGGTAGAAAGGCACAACTAATGTGTCAAAATATCAAGAAATTTTGAAAAACAGTTTTGTGCAAAGTGCGAGAGACCTTTACCAGGATGTGAATTTTATATTTCAACAGGATGGCGGGGCATGCCATACGTCTAATACTACTAAAAAATGGTTTCGGGACATGAACATCAAGGTCCTCTCATTGCCTTCGCACAGTCCGGACCTTAATGTTATCGAGACGTGGCATAAAACAAAACAAAAATAATTGAGCCTCGATCCACGATCCCCAAGAAACCGTTGACCATTTGACGATAATATTCAGTGAATTATGGCAAAATTTTTAGTCTGGCGTATGTCAATCATTAATAAAAAAATGCCAAACAGGCTTGCAGTTGTTGCAAAAGTTCATGCCGATGTAACGCCATATTAGAACAGTTATTTTTTAAAGTGTCCGAACATTTAGTTGTCACGATATTGTGCAATATTTTTGTTTATTTATTGGCCTACACTTTATTTTAATGTTTATAGAAACCAAACTATTTAAATACTCATTAGAAATGTTAGATTTTATTATATTTTTAATATATTTCCTAAATGTAAATAATTCAGTTAATGAAAATAAAGGTTTTTAATAAATTTTTGTTTTTCCGAACATTTAGTTGTTAGGGCTCGTAGTTGATTGATAGACAAGGTTTCTACCTTAAGTTATTAGCAAACATATTTTTAAAGAAAAATACAGTATAAGCATCTATTGCATTATTTAGCTTTTTATATCTATTTAATTGCTGTTATGTCTCGTATTTTTTAATCCTTATTCTAGTTTTTATTATACAGGGTTGTCAAAATTATAATTATGTACCTTTAAAAAATTAAAAAAAAGACTACAAAAAAGTCCAGATAGTCCAGCAAGAGTCTAGCAAAACCGGTGCATAAAACCAAAGTTTACAGAATTCTATTCTATACGTTATTAATCTGAAAAATTTTATTAGTTTGAGTAATAAATTATAATACACGTTAGACCTTCTGAAGGTATCAAAAGATATACATTTTTATTTTTTTTAGAATTTTCACAAATTGCACTTACTAATACTTTTCAAATAATATTATAACACATTTTTCGTCTACTCGCTATTGAAACCCGTGTATTTGATAGTCGGCTGTTTACTATATTCCCCGATGGTGGCTGCACCGTCGGAGAATGCACCAAGCTTATAGGAATATCATTTTTAGTGACGCCCTTTGTTGCTTATCCTATCAATTAATAAGTGACGTCAGATATTTAGGTGCCTGTATTAAACTAGTGAACAATTATTATTTAAGAAATTTACATTTAATTTCTTAAGCTTAACCCTTAGTGCAAGATTTTTTTATTTTAATCATTCATTATTACGTTACTTGGCCTTTACAGTAAAAAATGAATAAGGTTAAATATAGTAAAACAACGTATTGTCTGCTGTATATTAAAAATAATAATAAATATTAAAAGTTTAGGACTTACATTGTGTGAAGGGGTTAAGAGTTAAGCTTCATTCACAGAACCTCGCAGTTAGTTTAGTTCGTTTTAATTACACTTTTTAGTTTACGATCATTCACAATGTCTAAAAACACAATTAAAATTAATAGAATATTTTACCGCAAGCAACAGCTTGCAGTAGTCAGTTGTATCTATAGAGAATGTCTAATATTTACCTTATAAAACTTTATAAAACAATAAACTTTTGATTTCTAACCACAATTTCTCTTAACGGATGATAAGCAAATAGACGGAGCGCTGGCTACATAAAAAACCTTATCATCGTTACATGGCTAATTTTTCTTGTGAATTATCCTTTTGTGTAGCCATTATGAAATAATCATATCTACCAGCGCGATCCCGGGGCTTAAGGCGGGGGAGGCCAATCGAAAGGGTGAAATTTTGACACTAAAAGTATTATAAGGTACACGAGTTACTATGACCAAATAGCTTTTATTTATTATTAAGAAACGTGGAAAATTGTTGGCAGACATTTTTCTCGTGGCTAAAATGCCGGCAGACAACGCGAAAGAGGCATGAAATTTTGACAAAAAAAAATAATCGCATACATGCATGCCGATTGGTGGAATGTCGTATTTATTTATTTAAAAAGCCGTATGCAAAAGGGACAGATAAAAAAAATCGTGGCCCAATCAGCGGTAGAGAGTTATCAAAAGCGCGATATTACTATACAGGGTGAGTCTTGGATAAGTGCAAATATGTTCAGGGCTGGTATCTCGACAAAAGATATATTTTCTCTTTACCGTTTTTCAAATGAGTCCAAAATAACCGTTTAAGTTTGAAAATTTAAAAAGACATTTTTAGAAAGATTTATTCTTAAATAATTTTTCAGTCACCTGTTTTTTTTCTGTATTTGCATCCATTCTTTTAGTGTCGTAACCATAGAGTAAAGCCGTCAGCATGGTAGATTAAAAAATTATACCGTCGGTAAATTTGCGCTGAACAGGCAGTTCTACAAAGTTTTCTATAATATAACGGAAAATTTTTAAAAAATGCACGACGATTTTCAAGGCGGGGAGCATTCCCTGAAAGCGCTAGTAAAGCGATATTACTAAAGTATATAATATCGCACTTTTGATAACTGTCTGCCGCTGATTTAGCCACGATCGTTTTGTCTGCCTTTTTGCATACTGCTTTTAACGGCTTGTTTCTTATTTATACGGTTTTCCACAAATCGGCATGCATGTGAGCCAAATTTTTTTCCAAAATTTCATGCCTCTTTCGCGTTGTCTGCCGGCATTTTAGTGACAAGAAAAATGTCTGTCAAACAATTTTTCACGTTCCTTAATAATAAATAAAAGCTATTTTCGCAATTATAAAGGTTGTCGCCCACTAGACCGCTGCGCGGCGCGGCGCTGGGAAGAGAATTTTTTCCGGCTGCGAAGGGACTGCGCCCACTATAGCGCGCTTTTGAAACGCGGCAACGCTATTTAGTTATAGTCGAAGTGTTTTTTACTTACTGTAGTTTAGTTTTTAAAGCAATGAGTTCAAGTACGGACGAAAGCGTATTTTTTGTGCTCTTCTAACAGAGGAAGAGGAAGAGGGGGTGAGGAAAAGTTTGGACTCATACGATTAACAAAAAAAGAAAGAAGTTTGGAGAATTTTACCATCTTTTTCCAGATTTAATAAAAGACAAAATCATTTTTTTCAGTATTACAAAATATAAAGGAAACATTTTACGCACTCCTCAATTGAGGGTTTTAGAAGAAAAAACACCGGGTATATCTACTCATCATATTTTTTCAGAAGAGACAAATTACTAATATTTTTGATAATTCTTATTTATTCTGATGTGTATATTAGTTATGTGGTCAAAAAAACCCTGATCTTTTTTATATATTTAGGTAATTAGAATTTAAAAATTGGAGATTGTCACTTTTGTTAAAAAGTGGAGATTGCCAGTTTTGCCTCTACACCCCTCAATTATATTAAATCTTTGATAGAAAGGCATTTCGTCCATCTGTCTCTAGTGAGGGAAGACTAAAAAAAATATCATATTCCTTTATGAAAATCGATTTGCCTAATTTACCTTTAAAAATACAATTCTGCCATTGATACATATCACTAGTTCCTAGTCAAAAAGCACAGAATATCTAGCTACGCAACAGAAAAATACTCGAAATGAAAGAGCTAAAATTGCACAAATAGAATACTAGATGGCGCGACAATGTCATAATCAGAATATAATTAGAAATTTTGAACTTTCGGTTTTGGATCGACGGCTCGTCGACGGCCTTATAGCTCGGCTAAATATGCACAGTTGCCAGATTCAAAAAGACTTGAATTGGCATCCCATTCTTTTTATTAAGTATAATGCAGTATGTGTTTCTTTCTATTCTTCTTTTCTTGTCAGATACACTTATATTAATTATTCCTTTGGCTATTAAAATAGTTTTAAGTATATTATTACAAAACATATACATTTTTTATGTACACTACCTTATAATGTTAACTAAGAAAATACCCTTAATTACCTTTAAAATTAATAATATACAGGGCGATTGATAGTGATATTTATTAATGCTGGAACGTTAGTAATGAAATATAAGTTTAATAATAATGGAAATAATTTATTAAAATGCAGTACAAAAAATGTTAACTGACTAAAAAATACTATAATAACAAATTTCTTCCGTTTGCCACGTTATTTATATAGACCTAGGTAGATTTTAAAAAGTGACACAGGTACAATTAATAATATATTAGTTCGGCATAAAAGTTGCTGTCACGACATCGAACAATAAATTAAAATAAATTAAAATTCGTAAAATAAATTTAAATTATTAATTAAACAAATCTTTATAAAGAAACGCAAGTATACCAAATTTGGGCCCAATCGAACTCCAGGAAATAATATCATAATAGTGTACTATATTATGGTACCACTCGATATGCTTTAAGGTACTATAATATTGCAATGTCACCGAAGATCCGTAGTATACCAAATTTAAGAACAATCGAACGCCATGACATGGTATCGTAATATGGTACTATATTAAGGTACCACTTTATATACATCATAGTTCAATCATATTACAATGTAACCGAAGATACGTAGTATACCAAGTTTGAGCCCAATCGAACGCCAGGAAATGGTATCGTAATATGGTACTATATTAAGGTACCACTTTATATGCATCATAGTACCATCATATTACAATGTCATCGAAAATACGTAGTATCCCAAGTTTAAGCCCAATCGAACGCCATGTACGTAATATAGTACTATATTATGGTACCAGTTGATATGCTTCATGGTACTATAATAATGCAATGTCATCAAAAATACGCAAGTATATATCAAATATGAGCTCAATCGAACGCCATATGTATTAAAATATGGTACTATATTAAGGTACCACTTTATATGCATCATAGTACCATCATATTACAATGTAACCGAAGATACGTAGTACAACAAGTTTAAGCCCAATCGAACGCCAAGAAATGGCATCGTAATATGGTACTATATTATGGTACCTCGTATTATGCTCCATGGTACCATAATATTACAATATCACCGAAGATACGTAGTATCCCAAATTTAAGCCCAATCGAACGCCATGTACATAACATGGTACTATATTATGGTACCAGATGATATACAATAGTACAATAGTACCATCATATTATAATGGCACCGATAATACGTAGTATACGAAGTTTAAGCCCTATTGCCGCCATGTACCTAATATTGCTATGTCATCAAATATGGTATATAGAAGGTACCACTTTATATGCTCCATGGTACCATGATATTAGTATATTATATATTATTATATGCCGTTTTTCCCGATTATACGATATGAACTTGGTATGAACACAATCGAACGTCAGGAAGTGGTATCATAATAGTAGAACAATACTTATTATATTGTCGCCGAATTTCAATGAAAATTCAGGATTCAATTATACAATCAAACGTCAGGAAGTGATTGTAATTTAGCTCATAAGATTTAATTCCAACTAACATGGCAAACTGAAAAAAACAGCTCTGATCTATTTTAATATGTTTAAATGATGTAGCAAATTTGAAGGTAGGCTTTATCAGGAAGTATTACGATATGAATTACACAATGGCAACACTGTACAAAATTCTTTTAAATTTTGTTTGTAGAAAACTGTTTTCTTTTAAATTTATTGCCCTCTATTATGTAGTAGCGAAACTACCACATCAAAATATATGATTTGGAGACAGGCTTTTAAAGCCTGTCTCCTTTTGCTACCTACAATTTTATACATGTAACGAGGCTTCTGTTGCGTAGCTAGGTATTCTGTGCAAAAAGCCAACTAAAAAGACTGGAATGCAAAATTATTTCCCTTGTGAGTACGCACACTGCAACGCGCCGAAACGCGGGAGACGGAAAAAAGTTGCTAGAGAAGTCTTCCGACTTCTTGACGGAAATCCCGCGGCGCGCTTCTGCGCTGCGCGCTCTAATCTGCGTTGGTCCATTTAAATACATGGCAAGCAGACAGAAGAAATTTCCACATAGCGCCGCGCCGCGTCGCGCCGCGGTCTAGTGGGCGACAACCTTAACTCGTGTACCTTATAATATTTTTAGTGTCAAAATTTCACCCTTTCGATTGGCCGCCCCCGCTTTAAGCCCTGGGATCGCGCTGGCAGACATATTTCATAATGGCTACACATAAGGTGAGTTCACAAGAAAAATTAGCCATGTAACGATGATAAGGTTTTTTATGTAGCCAGCTCTTCTACTAAAAGGCCAAAATGACATTCATCCCAAAATTTTGAAGTATAATTAGTGGAAAAGTCAAACGTTTGTTAACTTTTTCTACTAATTGAAAAATACTACCACTAATTTTGACGCTCTTACATTAAAATTAGAGAAACAAACTTCTATGCTAATTGAATCACTAATTTGGGGGTTCCGAATGAAGCTTTACTTATAATTTTATTATTTTTGCAATTATTTGAAAAGAAAATAATTATAGGCAAATTGAGAGAACTTGAAAAACTAGTTCGGGTTTTAAAACAAGAAAAGGAGGAAGCACATAAAGATAAACAAGATTTACAAGAAAAACTTAAATTTCAAGATAAAGAATTAAAGGATGCTTTAGCTCAAAAGAAATTAGCGATGGCGGAATACACTGAAGTTACGGATAAACTGGCTGAATTAAGGGCTCAGAAACAAAAGATTTCTAGACAAGTGAGTAGTGTATAGTATAATACTTTTTCAGTTTGATAGCAATGATATTTAATTTATAACAAATAGGTTAGAGATAAAGAAGAGGAATTGGAGAACGTAATGCAAAAAGTAGATTCGCTGCGAAATGATATAAGGAGAGCAGAAAAACTTAGAAGAGAACTAGAATCCAGAGTGGAAGAAGTTCAAGCAGAAGCCATAAAGGAAAGGAAATTGAGGTATACAGTCATAGTTATTTTTTCGGCACCAATTTAAATAAAATCCGTTCATCCCAAACTGAGATATCAGCATTTGAATTTTAAAAATCTATGTTTTGAAAATAACATAGAACAGAAAAGTGCATAACTGGTTAAAAAATACAGGGCTTATATTTTCAAGAGGAAAACAATTTACAACAATTTTCCTTAACCTATTTACTTATATTTTTTTTTTCTTAAGCTCTATCAAAACCGGTTTTCGAGTTACAGCTGAAATTATTAGATCTCCTTGAAATTTTTTTTGTATGCAATTGTAGTAGAACTGATTTGTTTTAATCTTGGATGTTAAGAATATTTATAGCTGGTTTATATTTGAATATAATTACCAAAGGAGCCAAATCTCACTCTTAATATTAGTTTTAAGTTCAAAACTCTTATTATTTTTAACGTTATTAAACAACACTGATCAACACTTTTTGGCATTTTACATTTTGGTACATTGTCATATCATTGACACTTTCTTACAGCAGTACAGTATATCTTTTGTTAACTTACTTACTTATTTTTTATAGCAAATAATTTCTAAAAATCATATATTATTTTTAATTTCTATTTAAGCGATTTTTTTAATTGTAGGATATCATTCCAATCTTTAATAATAATTGTAATTTACAAAATATTCATATATATTCATCATTCATAACACTTATTTTTTAGAGAACGATCTGAAGAATACTGTAGGCAGATGCAGGCTGAGTCAGATAGGTTAAGAGTTAGAAGTGAACACAGTCCAAGAGATCAACAGGATTCCCTGAGGTTACAAGCTGAACTGGAAAAACTAGAGGTAAATAGCCTATACCTATAAGATATACTATAATGTCATATACAGATTGTTAACTGGACGGTTACTTATTGGGGAACAGAATGGCAACACTGCCTACATTCCAAATGAGCTATAAGCTAAGCTGCCGACTCGTCCCGTCGCGTCGCGTCGTCTCTCGACGAGCGGGCCGAGGTTGCCATATTTCAACCATAAAGCTCTTGCCGCGTGTAATAAATAAATTAACAACCTGTATATACAGGGTGTCCCAGAAATAAGTAAAAGTATTTTATGGGGTGGTAGATCTCGATAAAAGAAACATATTTTCTCTTTATCGTTTTTAAAATAAGTCCAATTATTTACTTTGAAAATTTCCAAAAAAAATGATTTTTTGCTCAAATTTTAGAACCACTGATCTTTTCTGGATTTTCTTTCTTGTAAATTTAATCTACTATATATGTTGTCATATTATCAAGAAATTATGTTTTTTAACTAAAAACTAAAAAAAAATCCAAAAAATTTTTCAAAAAAAACTTTTGCGAAAAAAACCTCTTAGGCCTGTTTCTGGGGTTGAACTATATTACCAGTTAAAATACTTGCACTTATTTCTGGGACACCTTGTATAATGTCAAATCAATTGTTAAAATTCCCAACGTCAAATATGTGTCAAAAACTACTAAAATTAAATTAAAATATTTTGAAATTCCGTGCATAATTTCCATTTTTAGGGTTCCGTACCCAAAGGGTAAAAACGGGAACCCTATTACTAAGACTTTGCTATCCGTCCGTCCGTCCGTCTGTCACAAAGGTCTATCTTATGAACCGTTATAGCTAGACAGTTAAAATTTTTACAGATAATGTATCTATGTTGCCGCTATAAGAACAAATACTAAAAACAGAATTAAATAAATGTTTATAAATAAAAAAGTACTTTCACTAAACATTATTTTTTAAGTAAGAATTTTACATAGAATCTTTCAAGTCCTCGGTGGCCGCGTGGTTTAAAGCGTTAGGACTTTACGCTGCTATGACGTTGGAGCCGTAGTAAGGTAGATTCGAATCCTAGTCAAGGCGACTTTTTTTTAATCGTTTTTTTTTATTTTTACGTATTTATTTTTACTTTTTACATATTTATTATTGATTAATACAATTTTTAGTAACGTGTTTCTTCATTTTTTTTTTAATTATTTATACGCGCATTCAAAATTTCAGCTAAATCGGAAAAAAAGTTTATAATAATATAGTGTCTAATATTGTATAGAAAATGAATGGTAGGGAACCCTTCGTGCGCGAGTCCGACTCGCACTTCACCAATTTTTTTTATTTAAAACTACTACTAAACATGGTTACTTTTTGATAAAAAAGAAAAATGTAAAAGTCGTGTGTCAGGATAGTTCACCGGACCCGAAATAGTAAAAAAACATTGTCCATATTTCTTTTCAAAGTTAGAATCTTCAAAAATTATAAAATCTTTAAAAATCTAAACCGCTCTCATTGAAAAAATTCCGAAAAGTGTTTAAAGCGTCCATTTTCAAAGTAATTATTGCTATCTTGTGAGTTTAATTTAAGTTTTATTTACACAAACCCGTGATAATTGTGAAAATGTGGCATTAAAAACTTAACAAGTTGTGCTGTGAACTGTGAACTGCAAAAACCATCGTGGATCGTGGCATAACGTCGGTTTCCAATGTTTCATAGGTATTTCATACATGACCTTATATAAAATAAAGTTTCTTGTATGCAACACACTGTATTTTATTGTCTATCCAACGAGAAGATCCTTGACAGTGATAGATGTGTCTGTCGTTTTAATTTCAAAGTAGTTTATTTTATTTTACAAAGAAATAAGTTGGTACAACTGGAACGCGCAGGAAATTAATATATTTAAAATTTGACTGACAAGTGATTACTTCAAAACATTGTGAAAAAAACTGTATAAAACTGAAAAAATGTAATCGAGTTATTTTATTTAATCAAAAACGGTATGTGTTAATATAAAACAAACAAGAACAAGACACCACATACCAAAAAAAATTAAAAAAGAACTAATTCTTATTTTCAAGCTTTATGAAACTTCCCGCATTTATTATATTTATCAATATAACTTATGTACAAATACAAATTTGTAATAACTGCAGGAATAAATAAAACAACATAAATAAAACAAACTATTTTATTAATAATAACACTTACCAAATTTTATACCTTAAAGGTTGATTAATTAATTATAATCTTAATTTTTTTTAAACCAGTACCTGTTGACATTATTTTTCTGCAATCCATTATTTACCTTTCGTGTGATGTCGATATTTTACAGCTACTCCAGTTTTTAGTATGTGTTTAGTATGGTTTTTCTACCATATTCAAGATGCACTTATCTACGACAAGATGGTATACGAACTTTATCGATGGTAACTTTATTGGTGTATAAGACTCTGCCTGGGCAGCGAGACCATACATTACTTTCCTGTTTGCACCCGCCAATCAAATCGTTTCAGCACAAATGGGGGCGGAGCAAATTTCCCGCGTTATTTGAAAATGAGGAGATTATTTATACCATAGCTTTATACACTTTTGCGCAATTTAGAAAATAGATTCTGAAATTTAAAATGTATTTATTTTAATATTAATTAAAAAAATGGACAAATTTCCCATGAAAATACGTTTGACGTAGAATTGTTGTTTTTCAAAAGATAACTATATATTTTATTTCATTAAAATACAGAAAAAATGGAGGGTGCAATTTAAAAAAGCTATACCTATAGGTAATCATTATTTTATTCGTTTACATATAATTAATATGTTGGTTTATGTAGAGATCAGGAGTGTGTTATATTTACTTTTAGATATACCCATAGGAGATACTACAGCCATTTTTCAAATAATTTGTGTTAATATTTGAGTTGCCTTTTTTTGATTCTGCAGTATCTTTATAATTTTTAAAACAAATTCCTGTAAATTTTAAGATCTATATTAGAAGTTTTTTATTTCTAAATTTTAAAGTAGGTAGCAGAACCTAGATTAATAATGATAACGAACAGACTGTATTTACCTACATTTATTGCAAAATTTTTGTAATGTTTCATTTTGGTTAAAGAACTTTACATTATTTATTTTGTGGTCCATAATGTATTAACAAAAATGTTAACATACAGAAATAGGCTTAGCATGAATGAGGGTGAAAAACACAAGATTAGAATTTGTTGATAAAATTTATTTCTGTTAGTAATAAAGACAAGAATAGAAACTACAGTGATATTTATACAACTAAATTATTTCAAACATTTATTTATAAACCAAACCTTGTCAGCCCAAAATATAATAAGTACAGAGATATGACAAATAACATTTAAGAAAATATATTAAAGCAAAACCGTAACCAATAAAATATCAATATACCTAACACAGATAACAACAGTAGTGGTAGTTATATGAGAAAAGACTATTTTAAATACATAATTAAAAACTATATAAAATTTTAGTCATAATCTGTTTTTCCAAAATCCTAAAAACTTAACAAGCAGATTACCATCGCCCATTCTAAAAATAATAAAAACTTATATGCATAAAAAACAATTAAAGAGTATAATAATAGTTACTCATAATAGTGAAAAATAATACATATATTTTCTTCTCTGAATAATATGTTTGCTTCTGATTGTTCCTCTCTATGCAGCGTTTACACTGATTAATGTTATTTTTAAATTTACTACATTCTGAGCCATGAACCTCTCAAAACAATTTTTTAATAATAATAACCACAACCATTTACTAATAATTATATAACCATCACCCGTTCTAAAAATAAAAACTTAATATATACATAAAAACAAAATTATATAAAACTTATTAAAAATGGTGAAGGTGAAACACAAAACATATATTTTCTCCCCTGGATAATGTTTGCCTCTGAATGTTCCTCTTTTTGCTCTGTCTACACTGATTAATGTTATTTTTAAATTTACTATATTACAACCTAACGTAACAACCATTTACTAATAATTATATAACCATCACCCCCATAATATTTCGGGTCATTGTCGCTCATAATATATTCTGCATCAATTGGTTTACCTAGGTTTGTTAAAAGAGCCCTAAAAAAAATTTCTTGAATTATCTGATCCAACCTGTTGGAAAGCAAAAACGCCACTGGAAATCCTAAATTATGTTCATCCTTAATTCAAATAATGTGTTAATTCAAATAATGTGTATTATTTCCTTGTTTATTCCATTCTTCAATTTTTAGGGCTGTAGCTGTCATATCATCATTATCTCTCTTCTTATCAATGTTGTACTTGCGAATCAAATATGCCAAATCTCCTCTTGTTACTAAATTTATCCTCTCAACTTTATTATTTTGAATGTTTTTTCTCGCATCTTGAATTATTCTGTCATTTGATACCCCTGCTGATAATTGTCCCACAATAATACTTTGTTCCACCTTCGACAATCGCTTTGTTCTCAACTTATCTGTATGGCCCACGTTTCAAAAAATTTGGCTTGAATTTGACCTTATTTTTTAATCATTAGGTAGGTATTAGACACAAAAAATATCATAATTACCATCTGTAGTTATTTTCACTAAAATTCGTGAAGGACAGGTCCCATTTATACGAATACTACCTCCAGTTTTCATATTACGTTTGCTGCATGAACTAACAAATCCTAAGAATGAATTTTATTAACAATGAAATATTTGTATAACATAAATAAGTCTACAACCTTTAGAATTGCTTCTGTTACAGTTTTATAATAGTCTCTTCTCCACTAGCATGTTTTTGTCTATCATGACGAGCATAGTTTACTTCTTTATTATCCAGCGACATCCAAGCTGTAAACTCTTCAAGATTTCTAAAATAAAAAACAGATTGTTGAATATTCATATTATGTATGGTACTTAAATGTTTAATTAAACAATCATGGAACGAAAAATTCTCTTCATTTGGACATACATATAGGACATTTGATATGCTTCTTCCTTGTTGTTGTTTCTTCTTTTGGATGGAACTTCCTTACATGTCTATTCTTTGTGAATGTATTGGCAAACACCATTTTGCATAAGGGCAAGTTAATTTGTTATTGCTACAAAATACAATAAATGTACTAATCCTAACCCTAACTGCACAAATAACATACCTTGCCGAATCCATATTTAATTAATCCCTTAAGGCAATATAGGTACTTTTTTGCTCAGTGATAAATTCTAATTCCAAGACAAATTCACAAACTATGTACCTACACCTATAATATGACAAAATAAAGATGAAAAGCACCACAATCAGAACAAATTAGTTATTAAAAAGATATTAAACCACACTAATATCCTTGAATATGTATAATAATATGTAAAAACAAGACTAATATCACAGAATATCTAGCTCTTGCGTAGCTAGATATTCTGTGCTAATATGAAACACAAATTGACGGGAAAATAGTAGTGACCGTATATAAAATCGTTCAAACACCCAGAAAGGCTAGCAAACGATTAAATATGGATTAAATATTAAATTAAACGAATTAACCAACTTGAACGGTAAAATTTCCCAGTCAGCTGATCGAAAACGGCGCGGACCTTTTCAAATACGATGTTACACGAAAGCTCTTTTCGGTCGAAATCGGGCACTGGGAATTAAACGGATTTTGATTGGCGGGTGCAAACGGGAAAGTAATGTATGGTGGCAGCGAGTATTAACCATAAACTGTGCTCTGGGTCTACAGTCAATTTTCACTCAATTTTTCCTCCACTTGACTTCAAAAGACACAAAACACACGTAATAACACGAATCAAAATGTATCATCTTCCAAAACGCAGGGTATTTGACAAAAGTTGACACAAATTTATAACCTATAATTTGGCAAGGCTTTGACAAGCGTCAAAAATCTAAAGGCGAGTTCATACGCATCGGCGCCCGTTTGTCGTCCATCGTTCCGTCAAACCAATAAAATTGAAATACGATCTGTCATTTTTGAAATAAACCAATAAAATTGGTTAAAAACAACAAGAGACGACGTATGACGGATTTATATTTAAACCCATCCATAGTTAACTTAAAAATTTTTAGAAACTTTTTTTAGTAAAATAAATAGATTGGTATGGGACGTCATCTGCTTTTCTTCTGTTATCGTCTGTCGAAATCTTACCTGAGAAAAAAAAACAAAGTATATTTATCAAATTAAAAGAAAATAATAAGAACTTTGAATAAATAATATTTGGCGATATAATTTCGGAAAAAGCCGAATCGCTCCGAAATTTTCAAAAGCTTTGGGTCGCGACCGTTGCAAGAATAGCGCCAAATAGTGTTTACATTGTCCTTATGGGCACTTTCCAATCTAAACTTGTTTCATTTATCTACGGTTGTTAATAATTTTTTAATCTTCTACAAACTGCGTGCCGTCATATCGTTTTATGCAGAAAATTTTCGAAATTCTAATGCCTGAAAACTAAACTTTATTTTTGAATAAACAAAAGTTCAGTGTGTATTTGACTGACGTAATCTTTATTTTATTTTTAGGTTCAGTATAATGATAGTTTAACACAACAGCAAGCTAGATACAATTTGGAATTAGCTACTCTAAGAGAACAACTTCAGGAAGCAGAATCACACAGAGATATTTTAGAAAGAGAGGTATTAAAATCTATAGCTTGTTTAGTATACCTTTAGTTTAATATGATTTAATTATGCTGTATGTTTTTGCTATATTTGTTTTTTATTTTATTTTATATTTATAATCAGCTTAAGTCCTTGAAAGACAAATGGGAGAAATCCAAACTTGATGCTATTGCTGACACTGAGCAAACATTAGCAGACTTGAGTAGGCGGCATGAAAGAGATAAGCAAATATTAGTGGATGAGAACAAAAAGCTTAATTCAAATAATGTGTTTGTGAGTTTTTATTTATTTATTTATATTTTTTATTAGTTGTATTCATTGAATAAAAGGACTAAGGAAGTAATCTAATATTATTCATACATTAGAGACCGAATCGACGTTATAAGACGCCATTTTTTGACGTTATGTTTGACGTCTCACTTGCCACATTTAAATTTGATTTTTTGCTGATATTTTGGCCTTTGGTTGCTTTTATTTGTTATTTCTTGTTTATTTTATAACTGCATTATACTTATGCAGTGTCCAAATTTGGAAAGAGATTATGTCGGGACTTGAAGAGGGGGGTTATTGTAAATCTTAGAGACTTCAAAAATAGTTGAGATTGTGCAATGTGCAGCGTTATGAATACAGAGATGCGGTTTTCATCACTGTGCTACTTTTTTATGGAACTAAAGATGTTGCACAGATTTGTTATAGCCTTCTTCGTTCCTGAAATACAGGGCGAATTTTTAAATGTTGCATTTTTTACCCCCTTTGCATCTTGGTTATCTTATAACTTAAATGTGAAAACTGAGTTCCGTTGAGTTTTTGATGTAGAATTCAGTGACATAACTAGATTATTGCTGGGAGCAGTCATTTTTGAAATTTGGCTCAAGCATATGTTTTTTTAATTGAAGCACCCTGTATATTATCGTTTTATTTTATTTATCTCTTAACCAGCTTTTTAAAAATGTAATATACCCTATACTTACTTTCATAAATAAGGTAGTAAAAAATGCATTAATTAACTTTTTAACATAAATCAACCTAGTTTGAAAGAGGATTATTATTTAATTTAATCAGATAACTTTGCTTTCGTTGTGTTATCTTATACATATATACGAAATTTATTTAGAATAAACTAGTTATGTTTTTATTCTTGCATTTTCGCATTTATTTAATACATGTTAGTAAAAATTATTAGAATACGTCAATTTGACTTGATTGTTTCAATAGCGTATCTGTATGTTTGTTATAAAATAATTATATAAACTTATTTATTTTTTTTAGAAATGTATTTTATAACAAATGTAATACCTATTAGTATTTATTGACTTAACATAAAATAAAATCAGTAAATTAATGAGAGTCTATATCTAGGTATACCACTTAAATTTTGCATAAGCATGCAGTAGTTTTAGGATTTAGTTTAGTTCACACTTGATAACGGTCTGTGATACTTCTGAACGTTGTGTAAGCAAAATAAATAGACAATGGAAGCCCGAAATTCTTTTAGTTTTAATACTGAATCCTTGTTTACTACATTCAAAGGATGTCATTGATAAAATCTGATTTAAGTCGGCCATATTATTATGCTTCTTCCTTGATCTTTTTATTCAATGGTTATGTTATTCCTTTTTATTATTTTTCATAGTAAAGTGAACATGTATGTGGCATGTATTTATATAGAAATAGAAATATCATTCTGCTTCATACAAAACATTTTTTTTTTCAGTGTGTGCTATGTAAGTTTAATGTGTGTTAAGTTATTATTTTTATATTTTACTGGTATTCTAAACCAGTAAAGTCCAAAACCCCCTTTAAGAAATGAATCAATTTTAGTCCTTGCATTATGTTTTATCGAATGTTGTCGTATATTGAAAATCTAGCATATGATTTATAAAAAATAGTAAATGTGCACATAATAATTGGCACATACTTTGCAGTAATTTGGTCTGGTAAATGAGATTACAACAGTTAACTCAAATTCTTTTGCTGCTTCAGTTTATTGTTTTCCATTTCAGTCTTATTTAGAGGTCAATAAACTTAATAATTTCTGACTTGTCTGAAGTATTATTATGGTCACAGAGCACAAATGAATGTTTCTTGAAAGATGACATTGCGTCCAGTGGCGTGCAGTACCATTTACAGTAGGGTAGGCAACAGAATCAAAAATATGAAAAAACTAAAAAAACGTATGTATTACATACTATATATATATGTACAATGTACGTATATAAAATTTACTGTCTAAAGTATTTAACTTTAAACTCAAACAAAAGAAAATTCAAATAACAGCAAATAAATTTAATTATTTATAGATGCAAAATGAATAATCTGTCTATCATTATTTCTTCCCGATAGATAGGCGACTCAACGACTGGCGAATTAGCTAAAACAATAACCGTACACAGTATTGCCAGATTGCCAAGTGCCACTACCTAATAGATTTTATGTGCCAAAATGATTTTACAGTCAAATAAAATAATAAATGAAATCATTTGGAAACAAATACAGATGGCAAACAAGCAAATTTCTAATTTGCTGCATAATACAAATCTTTCTAAAACACAGTTATTTAAAATTGATAGTATAAAATAACATGGACTGTTTCTTACATAGTTCTGTAATAACATCGGAACTGGCAATACCGCATCGGCGGCATCGAGACATCGGGTGCATCCGTGCTGCGGTAACGCACTGCTTTTGCTTGTCCATATCCATGTAATGTTAAGTTGCGGCCGTGCGTTCGATTTCGAATAATGGGATGCGTTTCTTAGGTAATAATAAGACGTTGAACAGGTGACGTTTATTTTCGGCTTTGCAACCGTAATAAACACAATACTAACTTACTATTTAGAAAAATAAAACAACGTAGGTCGCATTGTAGGATTTGTAGGTAGATATATAATGAAAATTGTTCAGATAAATATATTTTTATTTTGCATCTGTTTTGAATAAATGGAAGGGTAGGCAATGCTTTTTTGCCTATATGTAATGCACGCCACTGATTGCGTCGTAATAAGCGTTGTAATTGAGATCATAATTTTCTAAAATCTAAGAAAGGAATTGTATGAATATGATAAATTCATTCAATAATTTACTCTGTTTTGATGAACAGATACCCATGATAATTTTCATTGAATAAAATCCGACCCGAAAAAATCATCTATCTTTGTTTGCTCCAAGTAATGAGTCATTCTCGGCTCTAGGACATTAAATTGGAAAGTTGTCTTAATCTTAACACATTTATATCACAGATGGGAAAAACCGATTAATTTCAATAACCGATTACTCGAGTTTCAAGCGATTTCAATAATCGAGCGATATTTAAAAATACGGGTTTTCGCCCGTCGCTTGTTCGTAACGCTAAGCAGTACGTTGCTTGCGCAGAGCATATATTCTTTTGGGTGATAAAAATGATACCAACCACATGCGTGGAGGTGAATCGCCTGGGGATCTTATTAAGTCAGAGTGAGAAAAATGCGACGGTGTCACTTTTAAAGAAAGATACAGGTGCGCGTTTCCCTGTCTAGTGGAGCAAAATTATGCTGGATTCAGAGTTCCGTAGCCGTATGAAGGATCAAAAACTTATTTTAGACCGGAAATTAAGAAAACTTGGTTGAAATATGCCTCAAGTCTTGTTCACGATAACCGGGAAGAAAATGTGGTCACCCCTCGTAAGCAAATGACCGGCTCAACTATCATCAGATCTGAAGTAGAACAAGCTATAGCTCGTCGCGCGCGACATATTTCAATCGCCTCCGATTCCGCTTAAGTCGCGCGACATCGCGCGTATCTCCTACCTAGGGCAACTTCGTTAGAAATAACGTTTTCTTATAATGATAAATACCTTTCTTATAATGATAACGCATCGCTCGTACCGCCCGAATCGCGCGCTTTTGTCTCCCACGTAGCATTCTAAGCGTTAGCAATATGCACAGTTTCTCGGTTTATATCATACGTTTGTCAACGCTTTTACTCTTCTCTTTTTGTGCAGTAAATTATAAATGCATTGTCTTCTTACATACCGAAATCGAGACCCAAACTCAAGCCTCGCCAGGAGGGTATAATATATTGTAATTAATTATAAATTCATAATAATTATTGTTTTTATTGAGTTCACTTTGAATTATGTAATATAATAATATATCTACTAAAAAAATATGATTTTTGAAAATCTTATACAAAAATTGATATTTTTTCAAAGTCTGTATATTTATGAAAAGTGCTAATAAATTGATGTAAAATAAAATTCTAAATACATTTTTCTTATACCATACTTTTCAAAAAATATTGTGTCAATACTAACCTTATAAACTATTTTTTGAAATCACTTTCAAAATGTACGAATAATATAAATAATAATAGTTAACATTATTTTAAATAAAAGTTGAATAACCAAATAATTTTAGTTGACAGATTCAGTTAACCGATTACAAAGTGAAAGAGCTAATTTGGAAGCTGAATATGAAACACTCCGAACTAAGCAGGATGCTCTTAATCAGTGGGAATTACAACTTTCTGAAATTATTCAATGGGTTAGTGACGAAAAGGACGCCAGAGCCTATCTTCAAGCTTTAGCTACCAAAATGACTGAGGAATTGGATTATCTTAAACATGCAGGTATACTAATGTTTGTATTATTTACCTAATGAAGTTTGAATTTTTTTTAACATAGACAACAATAATATAAATTTGACATAGAGATCAGTCCTGCAGAAATCTGCGATTCCAAGGGTTATTTTGATGCCATTTTTCTTTGATCATATTGTACTTACCTATATGAATTGCATTACGATTTTTTACATAATAAATTAATAAATATTAATTATTGTAGTCATATTGATTTTAATAACAAAAAATTAGCTAAATAGGCGGAATTATTGTTTCTTTTACTTTAGGTGCATCGAATACCATTGGTGGCGCAGATAAGAATTGGAGAAACAGAAGATCTCAAAAACTTGACAAGATGGAATTACTTAACTTACAAAGTTCATTACAAAGTGAAATACAAGCAAAGCAAGCAATTAGCGAGGATCTTAGTAAGACCAGAGAAGCTCTTTTAGCGGCACAAAAGTAAGTTTATTTTACCAATTTGCTAGAGGTTATATAATAATTGTAATGAAAAATCATCCAATATGAGCATTTATACACGTGTGGCTAAGTTTCATTAGCAATAGGAGGTTTTCAATGCGATAAAAAAAGATGGTAAGGCTGCAAAATACACTCCAGTGCAACAGAGACGGATAAAGTGTCTTTTCCCTACCATCATATAGGGGAAGTGATCATAGAACTGATACGACGAGAAAGCCTCTGCGAGAGGGGGCGGGTCCTTAAGACGCTTGTGTGGGGGATACCGGCTACTAAGAGAATAGAATCGAAAAATACGACGGACAGTGTTGCCATTCGATTAGATCGGAATTATATTGGCTTATCCCAAATCTTATCTTGCCTACTTAATGAAATATTAAATAAAGTACAAAACAATTTTAAGAATGTTTTCTCTAGGCACATGCCTTCTTTCTAAAACGAAAAGTAACATGCAAAACTTTGAAATAATTTCTATTTTAAGAAATGGCAATACTGTGGATCTTCCTACCAGTCGCTCCAATACCGTCTATAACGGCGGCGGAAAATTCTCGGTAGATCTTCAACAAAAATCAAAAGTACAGAAACAAAATAAAATAAAATATTTAAGTCCAAAATTAGCATTCCTATGTAATAATGTAATATAATATATCCTTTGTAATAATAGATCACTCAAATAAAATACAAATATAATAAATATAACAAGAATCAGAAATAGCTAGGTATATTATCTAATATTAAAAAAATATATTAAATTAAATAATATTAATATATTAATAAAAGCATAAAACTATAACAAGTAGGGATAGCAGCCACTTTTTACCTTTGTACAAATTTGGATCAGTGATATCTAAAATTAATTTCATTTCAATGGGAAAGCTGTAGCAACTCTCAACTCTTTTTTCAATATATTTTTTTGACAGGAAAAGCACTAAAATATTTGTCCATATTTAGTTTGTTTCTCAACTTAGATTTTGTTTTTTGTTGAAATTTTTTGGGGAAAATATGGGTTCAACTTCAGTAGATGTCATGTGGCCAATACTGCGCCTAATAAGGAGTAATAAGGATTTGTAGGAATATCTCTGTCACTCTGCAATTAGATAAAACGATGACTTATGATTACTAAACAAAATTTAATAAACAATAATAAAGTCAGATTATACAGATTCCAACGCGGTAGTCGCTTAATTTTTAGTCAAATATGTCAGATTTTTGAAAGTGCTTCTATTGTAAAGACTAAAAACGCAGTTGAACATATCGTCAGATTTTTGTTTAAATTGGTAGATCGGCAGCTTACAGACGAAACCGGTAGACCTGGCAACTCTGTGAGGGTCTGACGTAATGACGCGCTGCGGAGGCGCGGGAAGGGAAATAAAATAATGGCGATAAAGGGCAGGTGGATGGGTATCATGGGTGGATGGGTACTACTAATAATAAATATAATATAATAATGTCAGTTCAACACAACACCGGTTTTAAACCGGTCGGTGTACCGGTTTCTGAAACACGTCTATGCATACCTACTATTACCACAAATTATACAGATTATAAACTTATCGCCAAGTTAGGATACTAGTTTGCGCACATAGCACGCCCACTTATGGCCTCTAAAATTGTGCACACCTGACCGGTCCAGTTATGTCGCTGTTTAAACGCGAGTTCATTTTTGCGCACAGGAAATTTTACTCGTTTGCTCGTCGTCATAAAAAACAATTTTCGTACCACGAATTAGGGACAAGATTTTTATCTGTGTACATATTATATTATAGTATACCTAATCTGTGCTATTACTATGCATGCCTAGCTCCATTGAAGCTCCTTGAAGCTGTTTATAAAATATAACGAAACTAGTCCTCTGATTGCCGGCATGTAGAGAACAGGCGGTGGCAGATGAAATGCGGTTACTCAAAAATTATCGGTACGGTACTCAAAAAGTCGACTGGCAGTCTAATTAATAGACTGTGTGAACGAACATATTTTTGCCTTTGGAATAAATTGTATTTTGAAATAACACTAAGCTAACTATTTTATTGTTCTTGTAAAATGTTAGTCGTAAATAATATTTTTTTTACAGGGATCTTCGCGAAAACCGACAACGAAATGAAGCCTTAGCGCTAGAACTGAAACGAAAAGAGAAACATATCAAAGACCTTCAAAACCGGCTCGATTCTGATGGATGTAAGTACATATTTATTTTCTTCTTTTTTAGTAATTTCTTTTAGTTTCAAACGTTTCTTTTACATTATATTATTATTTTTACAATTAATAATACACTTAAATTAATATATGAACACCAGGGCTGATATTTCTGTTAATGGGGCATCACTTTTAGTGTATTATACATTTTGGTAAGAGAAAAATATTAAAATATTTAATAATATTGAAGAAAAATATGATCAGTGAGATATGTCTATATTTTTTGTTATGAAATAATGAAAAGCCTAACCAAATGGGCATTATTAATTAGTTTACGTGTTGGCGATTGAAGATTTTCTTAACCGTCAATATACAGAATGTTTATTAAATAAATACAAGTACAATTACATTGAAAAAAAAACAGCGTTAGCGAGGGATATGAAATAAAGATCGCGGTCATTTTATATGTAAAATTATATGGGGAATGTCATCGATCGACCTTTCCAAGGCAATTGGATGCCGTTTTTTTCGATCATACGGCTCTTAAACTGGTAATATACAGTCTGTTGCATCGCATAGGAAATCCCATGTAAAATTTAAAAATTATGAATAAGTTCCCCATTTTATTTTACAAAAAAAAAATATTTGAAACTTTAAAAGAACTCCTTAAAATGAAGCAAATTGTTCATTTTGCATGATTTATACGAATTCGTTCTTGAGTTATGAGAGATACAAAAATACTAAATTAATAATACGGTCCTGATTAGAATAGCAAACATGTCACCTTCAAATTCAATCTTTTAAATTCAAATTGACTTTATTGTTGCCAAAAATAATTTTAAAAGAAATCATTTTTTAATGTCATAGGTATTGTCTTTATACGTGTTAAATATAATTTGTAATTATGAATAACACAGCTAAAGAAAAAAATAGTTTAGTGGTATTATGGAGGAAAAAGTCTAAAAGCTGTAAAGAATTTATATTCTGTACATTTTCCAAATATGCCAGACCAGTTATTGAAAACTATAAATATAAGAGAAGAATTCCAACACAAAGAGTTATTAAAGACTGTAAATCTAAAAAATTGATGAGGATCATGGAGAAATAATAAATGAAAATGAATGAAATGTTCTGCTACAAGTGGAATATGGAAACCAATTAAGTACCAGAATACTTGGAGAAATAGTCGAAAAATCACTAGTTGGCGAATTTGAAGAAGCATAATTTTAAGCCATTTAAATATTCCGAATACCAAGAATTATTGGACACCTATTAACTAGTACCTAATTTTGTAAATTGTTTAGTGTTTAATAATTAGATTTTCTTTTGAAACAGTGTGTTTACTTATCTACGAAATATATTTGATTTTTATAAGATGTTTGTATGTTTACAGTGTACTTTTTGTAACTTTTCATAGAGAATATTACAGTTGAGGGTTGGAACCTTTGGTGTTAAACAGCAAAATAAAAACACTAAATCACCACAATACACCAAAACACTTTTACTTTTACACTGGACGCGCGTTTCGCTAACCATGTTAGCATCATCAGCAGATGATTATAAACTGTATCAGTAACTCAGTTTATAATCATCTGCTGATGATGCTAACATGGTTAGCGAAACGCGCGTCCAGTGTAAAAGTAAAAGTGTTTTGGTGTATTGTGGTGATTTAGTGTTTTTATTTTGATAGAGAATATTACTGAGCATATTTTTGACAGATTGTAGAAGAAAATCATAATAGATTTGTCATATTGTGACATAACTTCTGATTGTTATGTGTGTTTTATCAGGATATATTTTTACCGCATTATTTTAAATTTTCGCCTAATTTAGTATTTTTGTATCTCTCATAACAACCATTCAAAATGAACAATTTGCTTCATTTTAAGGAGTTCTTTAAAAAGTTTCAAATACATTTTTCTGTAAAATAAAGTGGGAGAAATTTATTCATAATGTTTAACATTTACATGGGATTTCCTATGTCCAGGTCGGCGGTGTAACACATGGTAGTTCTACCCCAGAAACACGTATATTCTTTTTGTTAAAAATCTTATAATTTGCTTGTAATTTTTCCGCAAATTTAATCAAACACTTTAATGCTATAACCTCCTTAAATTTTTGAAGGTATATCCTGCAATGCTTCCACCTATTACATAACCTTCATTGTGTAAATTGGTATGTTTATAAATTAATAGTAATTTTGTGGCAACGCATGGCGTCAAATAAGGCTGAAAGACAACTTGTTGACGGTTGCTTGGCAGGAGTTCTCAAAATAATTCTTAAGTTAAATAACTCGCAACTTCATACATTTTAAAATTGGGAAATAGAAAATATATACAGGGTGGTCCGAACTGTATTCCGGAAACTTCGGCAGCATATTCTGCAGATTGAAATAAGTAAAAAAGTCCATATAAATGTATGTCCTAAAATGCTTAGTTTCGGACATACATGGTGTAGAAGTTTCATTTTTATTTCGATTTTTTCCAAATAATTTATGAAGTAACAGTAATATTTGGATGGAAATTGGTGTCTGGGAGTTTTTTGACACGAGAAATTTGATTTTCATGTCAATATGACTCCTACTTGTAGAGGGCACCATCTACATATGTTTTAACTGGTTTGAAGAGTAATAACTTTTTGGCCATACCTGTATAAAACTATTGAGTAAAAAAATATACATTTACAACTTTTTTTACATAAAAAAGGTCTTTTGGTAAAAATCGCTACGAGTAATGGTTCTCGAGATATTTGGAATTGAAATTATCAATACCTGTCATCATTGACATAAATTAAACATGTTGACTAAAGAGTTATTAGACTGAAACCATAAATTTGAATTTGTCTTCTGCCAAAAGTTCAACAGAAACTGTTTAATCATCATTTTTTAGCAGAAAAATTTAGGATTAATTTAAAAAAATAAAAATTTATTATTTCAGTCAAATAACTATACTCAACGTGTGCTTATTTTTTGTCAATAATGACATGTATTGACTATTTCCATTCTAAATATCTTGAGAATGGTTGCTCGTAGCGATTTTTACCAAGACACATTTTTTACGTAAAAAGTCATGGAAATGTATATTTTTTTAGTCAGTAATTTTATACAGGTATGGACAAAAAGTTATTACTCTTCAAAATAGTCAAAACGCATGTAGATGGCGCCCCCTACAAATAGGACTCGTTTTGACATCAAAATTAAATTTTTCGTGTCACAAAACTCCCAGACACCCATTTTTATCCAAATATTGACGTTACTTCAGAAATTATTTAGAAAAAATCGAAATAATAATGAAACTTCTACACCCTGTATCTCCGAAACAAAGTATTTTAGGATACTCATTTTTACGAACTGTTTTACCTATTTTTATCTACAGAATATGCTCCCGAAGTTTCCGAAATACAGTTCGGACCACCCTGTATATATCCAGATCTATTACCCCTTAAAATATTTGCATTTATTTAAGGGATATGTTATTACAGTTGGGGGTTGGAACTTTTGGTGTTATAACAGCCTAATAAAATACTAATTCACCACAGTACACCAAAACACGTCATCTGCTGATGATGCTAACATGGTTAGTGAATCGTGGATCCAGTGCAAAAGTAAATGTGTTTTAGTGTATCGTGGTGAATTAGTGTTTTATTTTGCTAAGGGATATGTTTATATAAAGTCGTTATAAACGGTTATCAAATTTTAATAAAAAAAAGTTGTAAACCAATAATTAGTATTTAATTAGTTAATTAATTCCATAAAAGTTTAATTTTATTGTAATGAGTATTTCCTCATGGATCCCCAAGGAAGATGGACACAATATGTCTTTAAAGCCGGAGTGATTAACCCCCCTCCCATTCATTCTACAATTCCTAATGAATGGTATAACATGACAAAAGAATAGACTTTTTTATACATATTATTTTTTTCTCTTTTATGCATATTTTTTGAATATAGTAAAACCTATACACATTTTTTTCTAGTTTTGGGCTTGAATACTCAGAGTAAAGAAATCGTTAGCAGATTGAAAATGTTGAAATTATTATCTGCGCTTTAAGAATTTATGTGATGCTCTTCTTAGCAGTAAGAATATCAGCTCTTGTGTATATTAGCACTCTCAGGCGGCGTTGTAGTAATTGCTTTTATGTATATACACAGTCGGATCGTGGTTGAAGCAGTTGCCTTTGGTCATCGGTATCACCTCTTGCTTCTGGGGCATTATGTTAATCTACATGAGGCTCTACGGTTGACAAAGCCAAGTATTAACCGGAATTTAAAGTAAAAATCCAGCTTTGCTTATCAAACGTATCATGAAATTACACTCTGTGCCAAAATATTTTTGTAATTTATGTATATCGGAAAAAAGTCTGTTTGATCTTGTCATAGAATTTTAAAATTATTATATGTGGCAAAAAATTATCTACCTTAATTTACTAGTTTCGAATCCTTAGACAACAACAAAGGTAGCTGCAGTTTTACTAATGTACATAATATATAATTCTTCTAAATTTTTACTTGCTTTAAATTTTATTTTAGCAATTCTTATTGCTAAATACTATTTTCTTGCATTTGTCTTCATCGTTTTAGAATATATTTAAATACTTATTGCTTCTTAATTATCAAAAGTATTTCCAAATTGCATACTAGAAGTTATAAAATATAAATCTATTATATGTATACGCCTTTAAGTAAAACAGTATATTTTCATTCAAACTGTACGTGATTAAAATCATATACAGGGTGGTCCGAACTGTATTCCGGAAACTTCGGGAGCATATTCTGCAGATAAAAATAAGTAAAAAAGTTCGTATAAATGTATGTCCTAAAATACTTTGTTTCAGAGATACAGGGTGTAGAAGTTTCATTTTTATTTTGATTTTTTCTAAATAATTTCTGAAGTAACGTCAATATTTGGATAAAAATTGGTGTCTGGGAGTTTTGTGACACGAGAAATTTGATTTTGATGTCAGAATGACTCCTATTTGTAGGGGGCGCCAGCTACATGCGTTTGGACCTTTGAATAAGAAGACTAAGGAAGGAGCATATAAAA